TAATTATTTTGCACTAGTGTCATAAAACATCTGGAAAACTCTAGCGAAACGTGCTCATACTCCCAGTGCAGTAGAACTTAATGGGTTTATTGCCGGTAAAATCCCAAAGTAGAATCCCAGAGTAGATAAAGTAGACCCGCACGTGCGACAACATGCAATGACCATACGTGCGCACTCGGCTTTTAAGACAATGCTTGTATTGTTCTTCGCTATGCCACATCTGGTAGATCGCATTGGAAAATTGACCACGCCCAAGGGGACCCTTCTTCTAGTCAAGTCCCAGAGATGGATGAGGCAACCAAGGAGAGGTGACCAATGGAAAAGGCTCACCAACTTCCGACACTTTCCCGATTAGCAAATTCGGAACTGAGCCCGGAAGGAAGTGGAGATGAAGGCGTGCATAATCTATTGTGCGGCCCAAGATCAACCCCTGATTGGTTAATTAATAAAGGAAGAAGGGATTCCAAGTGGATCGGGACCAGTGGACCATTTAAGAAGGGACAACGTAATGTACCTTCACTTATTCTTTTCAAATACTTCTCACAGTTGAAGGATATGTCACGACTTACTCTTACGGAGGAGGACCGGAGAGACAAGTTGTTTAGCTGAGTTTTAATAAGAAGTTCTTTCTACGATTGTGAATTAGTATACAGTTGAATTGATGTCATCAAGACTAGATTGCATAGGACCTGACAACTTGTAATCTCACGTGGAGATAAGAAAGAAGTTAAGAGTTGCAACATTGCAAGGGAACGTCATAACAAGCCACCGAAGAGAGACTGGAAAATCACGATACACTGCAAGTAAGTCCTTACAGCTAGTACTGATTCTTGATTTCTCGGCTTAAGTAGAAAACGGATGGATTAAGTCCATCTACCTTCGGTCCAACTACCGAAGTCTCCCAGGCATACTCTAGGACAAGACCAGCTACAGACGCCACAGTGGCTTTTCAATCCCTCCAACGATAAGTTGTTCCCGCCACAGGTGGCGCACAGCTTCGCATCTCTTTTTAGGCTCTCTTACGACCGATATTTAGAGCCAACTGCACACGTGTTGAGATAAAACACAATAATATTGTAATGTTCGATCAGAGCCCTACAATGACCATAACCTCTAAGTGATAATATTTAATAGATTATAACCTACTTCTTGTTACAGTAAATCATAATCTCACCAGTGACATGCAGAGAATAAGAAATTGATTATCCTCTAAGTATCCAATGAACAGATATATCAACACCATAAAATTATGAAGAAATATAAAGATCATTTGTAATTTCACTAAGGTTAATAATTCCCATTGGAAATAAAGTAAAATAAATGAATTAAACAGCAATAATAAAGATATGTGTTAATTATTGAATCGATCCATTAACCCTTTACTTGCCCGGCAACCCCACACAACATCTAGTGGATTTTTTGTTCTAAGTTAATTTTTGCACGTTTTGCCGACGAGTCAGATTGTGGAATTATTTTCCGAACAAACACAATTCAGCGAAGTCGAAAAATTTCCCTACGCTAAATACTCGAATATTATACTCTAATCCGACTAGCAATGCCGATGAACTCTCAAGGCTAGATTCTAGTGACTCTAGTGACGTCACCGTACTGATCGGCATAGCAACGGTCACCGGTGCGCTGCCGACGTTGCACGCTTCTACGTGAATATTTAAGAGCAGCCCTTGACGCGCTACGCACTGTACTTTTAACATCTAATCAGTCAGTACACATCTGGCTCTCAGTATTGTTTTCTACGATAAATTCAGTTTAGTGCTCAGTGTAATTCTATATTTAGTATTATTATTGAGTAGTGCATCTCACATCAGTGTCACTTGCACCAGCGCGAACTGCAATTCAAATCTCAAACAATCAAGAGCTCAAGAATGAAGTCATATCACTACAATAGAATAATTCTTAACTCAATAGAAGTAACTAACAACGCTACAATATTATAATTCATAAGCAGAATAAATTAATAATCGAACTCATATATATTACGTTATACTTTTCATCCCTTCCCGTGGTGCCTTCTTGCTTCCTAAAATCGCTATGGCGAGAGATTAATCCACTAAACTATTGAATTGGCAGTTCAAGCCATAAATTAAAACGTTAAAATTTGAACAGCTTTCTTTAATTTAATTATTATATGCTTAATACACTTATTATAAAAATAATTGTTGGCTAATAATACTTAAAAAATATTTCTATCTTACTGACATTGCTTAACATTGTCGTGAAATTAATTTTTTCTGTTACTTTTCTAATCAATTTCGTATTTTGTTCCAAATATTTTTACAATATTTCACTGATAAAATACAACCTGTCTTTAAAGTTATCTTTAAACAAGTAATGATTCTATGTGAATTTATAACCGGTCAATTTACTTTTCAAATTTTTGTAATAAATGCCATATAATTGCCCAATCAGAATAAGGTTTATGTATTTCCTTTCTATTATAGCATTTAAATTATTTTTTGTCACATGAATATAATCAATTTATCAGAGAATGTTATCTCGACCTTCCCAAAAATTGTTGTGCGTGTACGGTAGAGCAGTAGCTACAAACGACCTTGAGTGTGATTAATTAATCATAAACTTCCGAACATTTTAAATGAATTTTTCACCGTTTGGGTGAAAAATGCAGCGGACCTAATAGCCTGATCTTTCCAAAAAAACTTGTACATGTACAGGACAACAGTGGCGACTCATGACATTGAGTACGAGAGAGTCATGTCATCAATTTCCGAAAATTTTAAATTCATTGTCCAGCATTGGGTGACAAATTCTGGCGACCTAATAGCCCGATCTTTCCAAAAATTGTTGTGCATGTACGGGGCAACAGTGGCTACACATGACATTAAGTACGAACGATTTAAGCCACAAACTTCCGAACACTTTAATATAATTGCTGAGCGTTTGGTTGACAAAATTGTAGCAACTATTAGCCACTACACGCGCCTCCGTTTTAGGACATTAGGACGCCCGTATTTACCGTTAAAACATGGATGTATTTCACAAATAGAACGAGAAGTTTATGATCTCAATCGCTCGTAATCGGTGTCAATTGTCGTAACTATTGGCCTGTACATTCGCTTCCTTTTTGAGACCGTTCAGGCTATTTAGTCGACCTTATTTGACATCAAAACTCGGGACCCATTTCACAAATACAGTGGGAACTTTATGATCTCAATCGCTTGAAATCAAGGTCAATTATAAAAACTGTTGGTCCGTACATGCGCCTAAATTTTCGGAGAAATCAGGCTATTTGGTCTCCCGCATTTGCTGTCGAAACACGGAGCCATTTCAGAAAAATAGCGGGAATTTTATGATCTGAATCACTCGTAATCAAAATCAATTTTATTAACTATTGGCCTGTACATTTACTCCCTTTTTGGGATCTATCAGTCGATGAGGTCGCCCGTATTTGCCACGGAAGCACGAAGCGAGTTCACTATAGAGACGGGAAGTTTATGAGCTAAATCGATATTAAACAGGGTTAATTTTAGTAACTATCGGTCGGTACATTGCCTCTTATTTGGGATCGATCCGTCTCGAAGTTTGCAGTCGAGAGGCTTCGAAATGTATAATGATATTCATCGAAATACGGAACAATTTTTTTTGTGCAAGCGTAGTTATAGCACTATGCAAGACATAAATTGTCCCTGATTTTAAAATCGATCTGACTGTTAGTTTGTCTTCAGTATCATTCAAAACATAGACAGATTTTCATTGAAATTTGACTATATTTTCATATAAACATTAGTAAAAAAAAAAGAAAACGTACAATAAATTACATTCCATATTATAATCTTATTTAAAAATATAATTTTGCAAGGGGAAAGTTCCATTGCAATAAATATTTAGATATCTATTTTATAAAAGAAATTTCGAATAAATTTTTATAATTAATTACTAATCTAACAGATACATTATACAGAAATTTCTGAAAAGAATTGTAGATCAGAGTAACAAAGTACATTAATTTCCGTTTGGCTGAAAGCTTACTTAAGTTACATGCTCCATAAACGAGATATAGAAGTAATTTTCGTACGAGGTCTAGAATTTTTATTGCCAAAGTCATAAATATTATTTTGTGAGTTCTTCGTTTAAAATAAGTAATATGCTTCTATTTATTATTGTTATGCGTTTTTTCTCCATTTTACATACTATATATAGATGACGAATACTAGTTTATTAACCTGCATATAACATTCGATAGACCGTTGTTACTTACATTTGCGTTCTTACTCTATTTTAATTATAGTAATCATTCTATACTATTCACGCATATTTATCCTAAATCATTAGAATTCTAAGAATTTTGCTATTACCTGTTTTTTTTCCTCTATACTAATGGCTCTGATGTTATTTTCTTACTGAATAATTAAAAAATAGTTTATTATAAAGTGATTACATATTTAGAAATGTACTTTACTTATATTTTAATATTCGCTACATCATCACGAACTACTATATATAAGTATTGTAAGTATTATTATTACTTTGAATTACTGTTTATATAACATCATATCACGCAGAAAAGTATCAAAAATGTATGTGTTTGTCATTCTTATATTATTTTTTTTTAATCATAAATTTCTCCATTCAATGAGGTGTTTTCATATATTAATATATGCATAAATACATACATACATATATGCACATATACAGATATATATATATATATATTAAAATACGATATTAAACATCCTAACCATCAAATTCTTTATTTTCGTTATTATATGAAATTATTTATTTAAAAATGTATTCTAAAAATTAAAAATAATCTTGAGTGAAACCATTTTATAGGAAATTAATTTCAATAAAATCTTTTGTTTTTACCTTTTAATATTTTCATATAATTACTAATAAACTGTTTTATGTAAAGTGTGATACCATCTGTACATAATAAATTTGTAGCGATCTTTTGATTTATATATAATATTTAATATAATAATAATACAAAGATTATCCATTATGAAATTATACTTATTTGCGTGTGCGTAATTTTAATTGTAAATTTATTTTTAAGATATTTACCTAATTAGCATAACTAAGAACTATTCATAACTATGAAAATTCTTATTAAAATTATTAAAACCATTTAAATACTTAAAGTAATATTTTTTTACACTTTAAATTAATAATTAACGTAAATGTGATTCTGATCAACGAAGACTCATTTGTACATATAGTTGAAGTGAAACTGTCATAATTGCTATTTTTTATTTGTAGTCCCACGTTGGGTTAAACCTTCAAATCTTTTAAAAGTATAGTTTATGAATACCCAGTCTTTATAAATAACTTCTCCATCTTGTGAAGTCGGAGCTGACGCTATAATAAATATAATAATAAAATTATAGTTACATATTACGATATAATAAAGATAATAACAAGTGAATTATTCGAATTAAAATACATTCATACGCAATATTATAAAAAATTGGAAGTATAAGATATTGAATACGTTTAGGTTAAATTAAATAACTGATATAATATATCGACAAAAAAATTTGTTGATATTTTATTTATTGTTTATTTATAATAAAACTTTGTATATAATAAATTAAATAATAAATATTTCTTTTTAATTCATGTAATTATGAAAAAGTAATTTTAATGTCTAAAGCGAAAATGTTTACTTATACATTTTCTATTTAGTAGATGTAATGTAACTAAATAAAAATATTTAAATCGCTTATCAATTAGTCAAACTAAAGAATATTAAATACAGTAATAATCGCTTACTTATTTCAAGTTTAACATCGGGAAAGTCATCAAAGTTTGAAGTATCATCTATTGACGTTACTTCAACTGGAATAGCTGCTGGTCTCTCTCTAATGTGATCCCAATCAACACCACGAAAAAAAGGGGCTAGTTTTAATTCCTCGATCCCCCTTTGAGCTCCTGTACCATTAATATCAATTAAAAATAATATATTATATAAATTAAGTATACATTTTCAACTTACCTAATCGTCTATCAGCTTCACAACAAAATTTAATTATAGTATCTTTAGCTTCTTCACTGATGGGTACTTCTGGAGGAAAAATAAGAGTTTCTCTCCAATTCATAACTTTTTTATAAGTTTCCTGTGGATTTTCACTACAAAAAGGTGGATATCCTATAATATAGTAAAGTGAAAGACTTTAATTTATTTGTTTCATAATTGATATATTAGTTGCATTATAATAGTTATCTTCTCAACAATTTAACATATTTAATTGATAAAAAACTAATTGTACTGCTATTAAAATCTAGTTGGCAATAAATTTTGTTGCGAAATAAATTGTAATGTTGTAAAATTAAATATATCACTTCTATTACGAATTATAGCTTATAATAAATTCATACAATTTTAATTACAAATTATATAATACATAAAATTGCATACAATAAAAATTACAATTTTAATAATTTATCCGACATTAACAAAAAACAAATATTAACTAAATTCTAAATAATGAAAAGAGTTCTGCAAAAATTAGTTCATTATAAAAATTTTATATTTAAGTTTAATATAATGAAGTAGCTATATCATAAAGACAATTTGTTATATTCAACCAAACTGATAAAGATTATTGCATTTATTTTTTATTATTAAAAATAATCTATATAATAAAAATCATCTAAATAATTAAAATAAATGTTTTCATAAAGATATTTTTTATAAAAATAGTAAAATCATATCTTATTGATTTCTTTAAACTTGAATAAATTATAATCAAAATTAACTATATTAAAATTGAAATTCAATAAGCATTTTATTAATGTAAAACGCATGATACTTTTGTAAAATTAAAATTATTTTTTGAAAACAAGAACTTTAAGATTCGTACCAATTAACATTTCATACATTATTACACCTAAGGACCAACAATCACAAGCTGGACCATAACCAGTTTGAAGAAATACTTCAGGAGCTATATAATCAGGAGTTCCAACCGTGCTATACGCTAGTGCCCTACGATTCCTTTTCCAACTTTCAGCTCGTCTTTTACTATCCATTGCACCACTACTATCACTACTGCACGATGCCACTACAAAAAATTGAATATATGTAATAATGAATTTATAAATATATGTGATATTTATTTTTTTAAATATTATGTTACATAATGTTATATAATAATATTCGTGTTATAAATTAAACACAGAACAAAATAGAAGTATTGGAATATAATTTCAAAAAACTTCAAACTTTCGTATGATATTAATAAGCTATGTGTAAAATAACAGTACCTTTACGTTTTAAGAAACTTTAATACAACCATACTGTGCAAAAAAATTGAAGACTTAAAATAAATTATTTAAGTATCTATATTGATCTATATAATCTATTGATTATATAGATCTATTGATCTATATAAATGATCTATATTGATCATTTATAATAGATGCATTGATTATGTTTTTATTAATACGGTTCATTTTGCACCAATATTTCGTTAATACACGTACAAAATTATATTCAAATTATATTTAAAAAGAATCTTTTACTCATTACATTCGGTATTATATTAAGTTGATCTTCAATCCACATTACTCAAACAAATATTCCTAGTACCTACTGATAGAATAAAACCTTAAAAATTTGTTTTGATGGTGTATTAGGAATTTATTATTCTTATTGTATATGCAGCTTGATTTATTCGCATAATTTGATATTTATTTACTTAATGACTCGTCATATTATCTAGTGATATATACAAGTTAGAATATTAAGTTTTCATCGAAAGATTAAATATATGATACTCATAATAGTTAGTACGATTGTTTTTGTTAAACCTTAATGAAATATGTATCGCAGATAAATCCACTTATGAAACTGTATACTTACACGTAAATTTATATAATTTATATCTGGTTTCCTAATATACACTATACGGAATTATAACGTTGATAAAATTAAAAAATATTAAAAAACACCAAATTTATATACTTTTTTCTTAACCAATGCTGTGTTCTCAGTAAGCCTTCATAAACATATTCTTTCCAAAAACATTTTCAAATACAGTTCATTCTGTCTCCTAAGTAATTGGTAATACAAAACAACTTCTAGAATTTTAATGCAAAATATAAGTAATAGAATATAAAAACTATATCTAAATAAGCTATGTTTAATTACGTTATCTTACATTAAGTCTTCCAAATACAGCTTAGGATACGATTTTAGTGGAGATGTAATTTACAATCGTTTTAGTGTAAATCTATTTATTCACGCTTTAGATTCATAAATTCTCGTTAAGAATTAGAATATGCTTTCATAATTTGTAACTGCATTTACATTGATATATTTTATGTATTATATCAGTTATTAGCTACTAATATATTATTTAAAGTAAAACTGTATCTTTTATAATGTATATTTCGTAACTCTGGCGATAAAGTAAAAATTTAAGTGATACTATATGCAATCCTTACGCTATTTGAGTGAAACCTATTATTTTGTTTTTTTTTTATAAAAGAAAACTTATTTGAATTAATTTTTATTAAAAATATTTAAATCATTGACAAATTTATTTCAGACGAAAAGTAAATCTGTTTGCATTAATTTTAGGCTGTATATTTTATGAATTAAGAAGTTTTAATTAAGTATTAATTAATAGAAATATCTGAAAATGAAAAAAAGGAAAAGTAAAAAAAATACTAAATATTACATATTGTCATGTATAATCATTCGTAAACAATACTACTATAATGAATATGTTGAAATACACGTTCATTATTCTATATTAAATTCATAATATTCAGTTAATTTAAGTATTTGACTTCTTACTAAAATCGGATGGCTTTGCTTGACTAAGATCTCTATAGAAATCAGTTCGATGAGATTTTTTCAATCCTGTACATAGACCAAAATCTGATAATTTAATATGTCCTCGAGCGTCTAATAAAAGATTATCTGGTTTTATATCTCTGAAATAGGTATAAGGCATATTATAATACATCTTATAACTCTTTTATAATTATATATATATATATATATATGAGATAGAATAAACGTATCAAAACTAACAGTATTCTAAAATAGCTACAAAGTAAAAGAATCTTTTGTAAAAAAACGATATATAAACAAGTTTCAAAATAACTTTAAATTCAAATTGATCGATATCCTTTTAAAACATAATTTGAAAATGTCAATGAAACCCCTTATTTTTTGCTCAATATTATGAAAGAGAAATTTTCATTCGAATAAATTGTTTGATAAGTTTCTAAGATCAATTAGATTTGTTTTGAAAAATTAACTAGTAACATTATAGAATTCCTATTTATTTATTTTATAATGTATCATTCATTTATTTATGATTCCATTACATATTACATATTATTTTTAGCTATATCCAGTATTCACATAATTACCAAGTACATAATGGTATGAAAATTTTATATTACTTATTTTTAAAAGATGTATATTAAAAATATAATTCATATCTTTAGTTTTTGCTAAGAAATTAAAACTGATAATTTAGTTAACAAATTTTTATTACATAATTACTTACAATTTATATATTACAAACTTTGCTCAAAACCTCATATTTTAAATATAATTTATCTAACTTAAAATGTAACATGAACTTCATTTAGTATTTAAACAAATAGCAGAATGCATGAAAATGATTAAATACTCGTATATTTTCTATCAATGGCCATAACAACTAAAATACAACAATATAGATATAATAGAAAAAACATATAGAATATGTAAAATATATTGATAATAGATATATGGAACATAATAAATATCTATATTGTAAAATTTACCCTGTTATTGGTACACTTATTCTTTTCAACCATATATAGCTCTACTTATTCAGCCAATGATTAATAGCTGTTAAAATTTCCCCTTTTTCTGATTTATCGTCTTATATTTATATTAGAGTATTCATCATAGAACACTGTACACTTATCAAAAACTTGTATAAACTATTATCAGTTTTGGAAAATTAGTTATTTTATTTTAGTTTATGATATAATAATTTTATTTTAATCGTAAACTTCTTTACAACATAATATATTACATTATAATACAATTTATTATTATATTAAATTAATTAATTTAATTATAATTAAATATACTACATTCAATATATATACTTATATAATTTAGTATACACGTATGTTTTTGTTGATTAACGTGGATACTTTCTTGTTTATTTCATATATAAAATAATCGACACACTAGACATTAATACTGCGGTTTTATTATCAAATTTAATAAAACAAAGTTTAGAACTACAAGACATAATTAAATTGAATTAAAAATACTAAGCATAACTTTACTTAAATATTTTTTAAATGGTAAGAAATATTGATAAATATAATTAATAAATTATTTATAAAAATCATATTTAATTTAAAATATAAAATACAAATATAATCTTAAATCATTATCTAAACTGATAATCTATGTGTAAGATGTATATATATATATATATATTTTTATAGAGTATATAAAGTAATATATACATGGAAGTAAAAATCTTTCAGTTTATCTTCGAGTAATAGTAATTAATATTATAAGGCTCTAGATAATATTACGAAAATCAGTAATTAGCTTAGAGAAAAATAAATTAATTATAAATATTTTAGTAGAATTAAAATGAAAATAAAAGAATGTAATTAATTTATAATTTGACGTAAATGCAAAATATAATAAATGATTAAAAGTTATTCGAAATTATAGGGAAATATTAAACATTCTATTTGAAATTTTTTAATTATTCATAAAAGTTTTAGTATTTAAAATAACCAATATAGTTACTGAATTAAACAAATTACATTAAATTTTAAATTGTCAAATTACTAATTGTTAATATTTATCTAACGAACTATATAAAACTTTGACATCACAGACATTGCATTTAGTTTTATATACGCACGTATTTGTAGTAAAATAATGCTTTAGCTATTATATATTGAGCGTATTCTATGGAATTAACTGTAAACGACGATATATATATGGGATTTCATTTACTCATTACGTACAACACAGCATTTTACTAACTAAAAACTACTAACAATATATTGACAAATAACTTATTATTCCAAAATTGCCTATATAATAGTGACTGAAAGCAAAATACACAACCTTTGTAGCCAACATCAAATGAAAAATAATAAATTAGAATTATTATAGCAAACGTTAAAATAAATTAATCAATACTAAAATAAACAAAAAAAAAATAAAGTTAAATTTTTAATATGGTAGACAAATATTTTATTAAATTAACAAAAAAAAAATTTTTTAATGATTGTTGCAAAATCGTTGAAAATCTCATCGGAAACAGAACAGATAAAATTTAAAAAAAAGTATCGAATCTCAAATTTAATCACCATTAGTCCTTCAGCCTATCCTGGTATTTAAAAAACAGATCACAAAAGCAGCGATGTAAGCATTAACACAAATATTAACTACGGCAATTATATCCATTGTGGTCCAGGCATTCAAGAAAGCAGTTATTTTAGTGATAACTTAAATTAGATAGCTAGATCTTATTTTCAATGCCTCGTTACTCATCCAGATAAGGAAATACTCAGAGTAAAATTTTTTTAATTTCTTTGTTTTTAAGTTAAATAAAGAAAATTCAATACTAAGAAACGGTGTAATATCTTAAAAAAGGTAAAAGTGTAGGACGCTAAAAACACATACAAACTATAAGGATATCAAAACAAGTTGATGCTTGTTTTCGCGCTAAATTTGTAGCTTACATATAAAATTACACAGACCGTTATGGAGATCAAGAATATACTTAAAATCGGGTACACTAAAACTAATCCCATAGATTATACTGTGTAAGATGTACCAAGATTATGTTTCTCTAACAAATTAATTGTCCTTCCCAGAACTTTTAAAATTACTTCAGTATCAGTGATACATTCCTTCAAATCTTGTGATTTACGCAATCTGTGTTAGGGCCAACCTTTAAATATGGTTTATGTCCTTGCTTTCGTTTATATCTTTCCTTTCCAATAAGAACTTTTCTTTCGAGTAAAAACTTATTGCGCATCCATTTTCATGAATTTTATAAATGCTGCTATTAAAATTTATGATTAACATGAAGGTGTTCACGTATAAAACAGATGCATTCTGCAACGGAAAAATAATAACAATTTTAATGTACCTAAAACATTTATCTTTGAAAATTAAAGTTAGGATTAAAAATCAAATTAAAATAAGAACTAGAAATAAAAAATCCATATATATATATATAACTGTAAAAAGTTTGTATTACAAAACTGCTTAAAAATAACATCGTAATTGAATAAAAAAATTGCCTTCAAAGAAAATATATTATAAAATTATTTGTCAATTTAATTACCTGCCTCGTTCTGATAATAATCTCGACTAAAACAGTGAGATCAATATTATTTAATTCTAGTAATAAATTATACATTATTAAATAAACATTTACATATCTATATTTTATCATCTCCTACAACTTTGAAATAATTGTTAAAATTTTGTTAATATTTCATTCTAAACGTATCTCGAAGAAAATTTTCGTTTCATTCTTATTTCATACGTAGCGTATATATCTCAATATTATTTTCTCTAAATGTTGATATAACATTGTCATCTTCGCATTAAATAATTTAATTACTATCATTGAATTTGAGTCGGCAATATTATTTTTATCAATCTATTTTTTCTTGGGTGAAAAATATTCTCATTTTTTATCTTTTTGTTTTATTGACTAATTTTTATCATGCTATTTATTATAACCTAATGTTGTTAGTATTCATATTAAATATCATTTTTCCATTATTCAAATTGATCAAATTATCTTTATTATAGTAATAATTTTAGAACTTGAAGCAGTTAATACTTTTAAGAAACCTTTAATTTTTATTCCTCAAATTTCAATTGATAATAGACACTGCATTTTTTGTCATAGGCGTTATATTAATTTTGATTTTTTAGTTATTTTGATATGCATGATTAGCATAAATTATAATATACATAAATTATTTGGCTTTCGGTTTTAAGTTAACTTCTGTACTTTCGACCAATGTAGAATTTTTTAAAAATAATTTATTCATCAAATAATATATTGCTAATTAAATTGTTACAAATCTAGGTTATAAAACAAACTCATGAAATCATAGATTATAAATCAGAAGTTATTTGCAATAGTTGAACGTATCTAATATCTATTAATTTGATAGAATATGCAGTAAAATACTATATTTTGTAACTCGTAGTTTCTTATTATGTTACAATTAAAATATATATAAACCTTCCTTTCAATCGATGCAAAGTAACAATATAATTATTTTTGTTGCCTTTGATGTTTTTTTTATATTATTTTTTAATTAATATAATATTGATCTCCCTAGGTATTATTTCATAGAATCAATGTTATTCTTTTATGTAAACTTAATATATGATACTAATGAAAGATACAATTATAATCTTTCTACATTTTTTCCCGCGCCATCTAATTTTCATCAAATTTTCTGGTTATTTGTTAATTACCATAAAAATCTGTAGTTTAAGTGTACAATAAAAATTTTAAATATCAGTTTCGGTAAAATTGTTTTCTGCAACTAAATAATTCTATATTTAATAGCTTAGTCTTAATAATATCAAATTTAGATTTAGTTAGCATTGTAATGATGAATAATACTAATTAGTATAACAATAATTAAAATAAATTTCATATATTTTCAATAAACGCTTCAAAAAATACATATTACAACTAAATGGAGTCAAAAATTTATAAGCTGTACATAATACTCAAAAAAAAAACTTAAAATGTTTTATTTCCAAATGAAGATTTCACAAATATAATAAACTTCCCAGCATTTTCAAATTATTCTCAATTTTATCTATAATATTATACTTTCAATTTACACTTGTAGTGATTTTAAAGCAACCTGTAATAAATATAGGCTTTACATTTGAAGACAGCATTTAAATGTAGAAATTGTTTTTTCCTGATTTTCTTTTTTTTTTTTTAATCTAATAAGATTCACATTGTAATATTATATGAATATTCAAATGTATTCGAATAATTAACTGAAATATTTAAAATCTAAAAAGTAAGATGTTTCTGTATAAAATAATACAATTGTGAGCTACCATTACTAACAAGGAATCAAAGCAAAATCAATATTAAAAAATATGGTCATCATTGATGAAATTAATGTCATATAATTGTTTTAATTGTGAATTGATTACCATAAAGTAGATTATAAGCAGAAAAATTTAATTATAGCTATAATAAAATAGTAGATATAATTTTTATTAAAAAATTGTAAATAAATATTTCAAAGCCTAATAGAATATTGGTTTCAATAAATATTGAAGTTATTTTAATACACTCGTGTATTCTTTTCATTGCATTGTTTACAATATTTACTAACATTATTATTTTTACGTATTCAATATATAATTTATACTGAACACAATTACAAACAAAACTAATTGATCTTGTTATAGCTTTACAAAATTCATCCAATTGCAGATTGCAGATTGCAGATAATCGACGCATTCGTTCATTGTAAAATAATTAGTTGACACTTGTAGGATTACAGCTAATTTTTTAAAATACTGTTCAAAAATTATTTAAAATAATATATCTTTAATAATTAAATGAATAAAAAAAATCAGATTTATATTTCTTTCTTGCTTATATTGTCTTATCTTAAGAAAATAATGTACAATTGTTGAAAATATGCTTACTGTAGAAAATAAATTTGCAAACTTTATAAACATTAATATACTCATATTTATAAACTATTTGAAATAATGAATGTTTTTCACTAATAAAATATTTTGGTAAATCATATATTATAAATTATAGTTATGTAGATACAAAAATATTTACAGACATTAATTGTATTATTTTATTATACTAAGTGCAATAATTATAGTAAATTGGTTTGAAAATAAAAACAGAAAATGTGCCAAAATAAAAGTAATAAAGAATTTAATAAAATATAATTAGAAAATATATATGTACAAACTACGTTCATGGTTGTAATGTAGTTATAATCTATGATTCGAAAATGTTAACAATAAATGTATTTATTAATTCCAAATCGTGTGATGTATGTGTGTCTGTACACAAAATTCCTTAAAAAATACAAAATATACATGAATTTATTACATTTAAATCTAATACTTACCTATGAATAAAACCAAGTTTATGTATAGAATCAATAGCTAAAGATGTTTCAGAAATATAAAACTGTGTACATTCTTCGGACAAAGTATCTTTCTTCATAAGAAGTGTCATCATATCACCTGCAATAGAACAATAAGATTAAATAATGTATAATTAATTTTCTTGCATTACACTGAATAATGGAATACTTCTATAATATATTTTAAACTCTTGAAAAATATTATAAATACAATAGTCAATAAAAATTATTAAAAAGTTTTCAAAATTCAAGAAAAATAAAATAAACAAATAAAAATGTACTAACCTCCAGGTAAGAACTCCATTATTAAATACAGATTTATAGGATCTTGAAAACTGTAATACATTTTAACTACCCATTGATGATCGGCCTCTACTAAAATATCCCTTTCGGCTCTCACATGTGCAACTTGTTCTTTTTCTAACATATCAGCTTTTCGTAGTATTTTCATAGCATAAACATGTCCTGTATCTTTCTTTTGAACGAGCCTTACCTAACATCAATATTAATAGGTTATATTTATAAAAAATATATAAAATTTCTCTAAATATTATCTAAAAGAATTTTAACAGTAGAAACGTATTATCATTTATTTTTGAAATTTAAACGTTGTAAAAAAAAATTGAAATATTAGAATATTTCACAACGATCTATACAATTTGTTCACATAAAGTATTAATAAATAATACTATATATTATAATACTATGTAATAATAATAACAAATTGATATAAACAATTTTGAACTAAACTAATACATAAATTTGAAAGCTAACATAGATATAAGTATGAATAAATTATTATTTGCAAGAACAATGTAATTCATAATATAATAATTTAACACATACAAATTTAAATAATCCATCCATAAAAAAAAGTATTTTATATACAAGAAAAGACAAAAATATAAAAACAATCAATTTCTCAGAAAGTAATCTGAATTAAAAATTTACTTTTGCAAACTTAAAATTATAAAAACAAAATTCATGAGGAACTTGGCATAAAATTACATTAAAATTACATGAAATTTTAAATGTAAACCGATATTACTGACTATATTTAAAACAAGCACTCTATAATTTTTTTTCATTTATTTTTTATATTTAGATTTCTACATTTTACAAAAAAGAAACTATTTACAAATCAAAATATATTATTAATATATTTCCTTGATTCAAGTATAACTAGATAATTTATTCCAAATCGTAAATTTTTTGTAGTTCTACTAAGATATCCCATTCTACAATTAACAATAATAAAATGTTTAAAGTTATACTGAATATACAATTAATACGAATTCCGATATCTGATTCGGCAAGTTAACATTTATATATGTACACACATCTGCTCGAAGTTATAATATATAAAGACAATAAATCAATGCCGAAAAAAATTCATAAAAACCCGACAATTATAAAGTAGAGTCCAATACTAGGCGAGAAATGAAAATTGATGAATTAAAAGAATAAATTTGAGTCTCAATATAAGGTAGATAAATAACAAATGTAAAATACCACAAAAATGGGAAGAAAAGTATAAAGTGTAATTTCGTGAAATATATGGTAAAGAATGAAAGGAACGAAAGAAGACCAAAGGAAAAGTTTCAGGCAAAAGGTATCGACATACACAGTACTTCATATTGGTGGCTATTTGTGTAAACATGAAACGAATGAATTATACCACTACTATATCACAATCCGTATTATATAAAATAAGTACATTAGTTTATTCTTATTGAATTTTTTTAATTGTCTGACAAATATCGTTTTTGAAACCATTTTAAATAAACTATTCGTTTTATAATCGGAACGATTGCTAATAAAATGTATAAAAAACATACATAGTCTATTTAAAATCTATTTAAAAATTAATACAGTAAATGTGTTTAGAATTCCACTCATTGGATTCGAAGGACCAAATGTTTAGAATTAGACTAAGACCACCAGTTGTAAAGGTGGGAGAAAAAGTGCGAGCAAGTAGAAGGTGTAGCGCATTAATTAAATATTTAACCATCTGCTTTTCGTGCTGTTTATTGCGTTTTTTCTTTACAAACTACAATATAATGATTCTAAGTTGGTGTTGAGAATCGTTGTGATCTTGCAGTTCTATGGTGATTGCCCTGTGGTGTTAGCATGCACTACATGTAGGGGCAGGTGGTCGTAAATCTTCAGATCCTCTTAACCTAGTATGCTTGTTGATAAATTATTACACTTATAAGAGGTAGTAAATCTCTTGACACATCTTCGTGTAGTGCCACATGGTGATAACTTGATTGTGGTATCCTTCTTGAAAAGGTGCTCGTTGGTACTAGATCCTTGAAATCAACTCTGGTGAGTGTTAGGTGGCTATGGCCCCTGGTATGAGAAGTGCGCTTTGGCACAGGATCCTTGCAGTCTACTCAGACAGGTGGCTAGGGCACCAAGAGCTGCTATGTGGTGGCACAAAGGGCTTAATTGCCGATTCTGCCGAGGGAGCTTCTTTCTTCCTTCTTCCTTCTTCCTTGAGGACTTCAGCTTGAGTGAGTGCGTTCGTCCTCCGTGACGTCTTTCGTAAAAGATAGCGCCTCATCTATGGATTTTATTAAGACAGACATCTTCTGCGGCATCCTTCGTAAGAGAGAGCATCCGCTCTCCGTAGCGCCCCTCATAAAAGACTTCTTAGTTAAATGCAATCCGCTGACCACGGCGTCCACTTAAGGAACGCTTGCTTCTTTGGCGTCTCCAATCATAGCGCCTCTGACTTTGGCGTCTTTAGAGCACTTTTCTACTTGCAGCGCCCCTAACGGCTGCGCCTTCAATCAGAGAGAGTAGTCTTCTCGTGGCTTTCACGCCAAGAGGAACCTCTGTGAAAGACTAAAGCGCTCTCGCTTGACTTATCCAAGCTACAGTATGGCTAGACTTGATAACAGTGAATGCGTTTGTATACCGTTACTTCTAAATTTTGGGTGTAACAATTATTTCCAGATGTCTAATGACTTGAGTTTACCAGATGTTTAACGACTTCAGAAAGTTTATCACAATTTAGAACAAAATGTCAAAAACAACACTATAAATAAATGTTTACAAAAATCTATTACTATATATACACACACATATATAACATTCATTTTATGAAATTATAATTTTTTTTTAATTCATTATAAATTTAATATATTGCAAAACAATTTCTTAAGGTTATGTAATAAAACTTTATTCTATTAAACAACATTAAAAATATCGACAAGGCTATGTATCAGAGAATGAAAGTTGTATATTTAATATCAATTATTATATTTCAATGTATAGGTAAATAAATAATGTTTAATTCAAATTAAAAAATTAACAAAAAATTAAAATAAAACGTTCATTTAAAATAGTAATTTATATAAAAATAAACTAACAGTATATTAATTTTTGTACTTTATAAAGATTATGAATTTTTTATTACTATAATTTTATTTAATATTTTTAAATGAGTCATCCATAGATTTTCAATAACGTTATAAAATTACATAATTTATGAAATCTAATTAATCCTCTATTAATAACAAAATATATATATTTGAAATACAATATTAAATTAATATTTACTTCCCCAAAAGCTCCTCTACCAATAACTTTAAGAGGTTCAAAATCTTCAACCCCAAGTCTTGAACGTTTTAAACGAAGAAATTCAGTTTCTTTTTGTGCGTGTTGCAATCGTTTTTCTTGCTTTTGCTGTTCCGAAAGTGTTTCATCTTTTAAAGACTCTTCTAATTTTGCTAATCTTTGTTTTCTTTCTATGTGTTGGGCAATGAGATTACTATAATAATTTTCTAACGTTACCTGAAATAAAAATAATTTTTAAATATATTACTTTTATACTTGTTTAAAAATAATATAAATTAATTTAGTTTATATATTTTTATAATTTATATAATTTCATTCTTATAGTATTTTTATAATTTATATAATTTTATTTATAGTTTTTTTATTATTTATATAAAATTTAAATAATTTAATGTAATAATGTAAATAAAAATTGTATACGACGTATAAGATATATTTTCTTGAGTAAAGTTAATATTCAACACAGATATATTAGAGCTGCTGATATGCATTTATAATAATAGTACAATGTAAAATAGGATGAATTACTGTTACAATCGAAAAATGGAAAATTAATCTATATATAGCACCATATAGGAAAGGAATAATTTATCAAAATAAAGATAATGAGAACAATCAACTATAAATACTACCCACTTTCAATTTAAATATACCAGCAAGATCTAGATGCTTACAAAAATATTTACCATCGAATTTTCAAAGCTACTAATTTAAAAACGGTGAGTATGCTATTTTTCTTCTTATCGAAAATTATTAAATTATTGATGCATAATAGTTACTCATACAAATTAAATACTCTATAAGACTATAAAATAAGTTGCATACATATGTATTTTTGGACTTTATCATTAACTATTTCATTAATATCAAATACTTGCCTTTATCAATTACTTACTTTGTTTGTTAAATAATCACTAAAATCTATTTCTACTTATTTAAAATCATCTAGAAGAACTTTACTGAAATTTTTCTATAATCTTCAAAAATATTCATATTTAATGAAATTATTTATTTAAAATAGTTTAAGTAATCAAAAATATTTTCTATTGTATTAACATAAATACATATATATAACAAAATAATTAAAATAATAATTTATCACCGAAATAATTAATTTTTGTTATTATCGCATCAATCAAATTATACATATTTTATAAATATTAAGGAAAAAAAATTTGTCTTGGATACTGAAAATAGTTGTAGCTATAGTTTATACTAAAATTATATAAAAATATAAAATATATTTATATTAGCCATAAGTAATATAAATAATGTAAAATAAATATATTTATATTAATCATAAAAGAAATTTTTTATGTTCATTATCTTGTCTTTGATTTTAAACTGTAACTTTTATTAAAAAAATTTTAATATAATTGTATTAAGAACTGCAAATAAATCTTGAGGATATATAAAAAACAATGTTTTGATATTTAATTGTAATGTGTTTAATATTGTTCAAGCTATAAATTGTTATGTCTGTGTTTACTCGTACTAATGTATTTTTTGCAATTAATAGTTATAATTCAATTTCTCATCAATAAAAGATGTATTACATTTGCTTTATACTTCACCAGAATTAAAGTTTCTTGTTATAGCTAAAACTAATATCAATTAGTTAAAAACTAAATTTATATACTTTTTATTTATACTTAAAATTTTTTTTGATTCTGGATCACCGATATAAAATATTTCATGATATGCATTTTACAGGGAAGAGAATATAAACAAACATTTTATTTTTAGATCAGATTACTGAAGTAAATACTTAAGTGTAGTTATGTGCCATCATGGTTAAAAAAATTATCATAATTATGGACTGCTTTTTCATATATATAAGTATCTAAGCAATAATCAGTTAGGAATTCTTACTGATCAGTTCTTATATAATGTATAAACAATTAAAATACTAAATTTATCTTTGAATATTTCTATCAGTTACTCTACTATAATTACTAATAACTATTCATTTATTATTACAAGAATATCAATTTCTCTTCTGTAGATAATTAAATACAGCATAACTATGACCAACCACTAAATTTTATACTGAGTAATTATCACTTTTTTGCTGAGACATTAAATCTTCATTATTTGAAAATAAAATAATTCCTTGATTTTTTATTATTGTCTAATTGAAATATACTTTTTACTAATAATTCTATCAATAATTATGGAGATTTATATGTAGATATAGATATAATAGATTTAATTGTATTTTATAATCATGCTTAATTATTTAATCTAACACTTACTATACAAATATTTGGGAGAGGGGAAGAAGTCATGATAATTAACATTGGGAAAGAATTGGAATATTGTTAACTCATAAGAAATTATATAGACACCAATAATACTTCGAATACAAAAAATTATTAAAATAATTAATGTTAATGTTTAAATAATATTAATAGTCAGACAATATAATATTATTTGTTTTAATAATGTCGATAATTTAGTAATTATAAGCAAAGAATAAATTTATGAATATGGTAAAAATAAAATAATATTTATTGAACTTACTTTTGCTTTTGTAGCTTTATCAAGTGTATGACCACTAAATCGTATTGTATTATCAGATGTTGACATTTCTAAAATGCCTGTAATACATAATTACTGTTAAAAATTATTTATACTTGTTAATAAAAATAACTATCCAAGATTTGATTAAATTTCATAATTCTTAGTGTACTGTAAAAAAGTTAAAACATTAACAAAAGATTAAATTCGATGTTATTTTACAATTAAATATTCTGTCATAAGACTTAAATGAATATACACGAAAAAAGAAGTCATTATCAGTATCACTAAAGTTATTCAATATTTTAAAAAATATTTTTTTCTAAAATATTTACAATTCAATAATTCAAATTTTAGATAACGTATAAATTAAGTAAAATAACATAAGATAATATTCAAATTGCTTCAATTGTACCAATATTTGAATTACCATTAATTTTTCTATTTATTTACGTTTAGCTGTTTTTAAAAATTTTAGATCCATGTTGACCAAACATATTCTATTTACAAATTTATTAACATATTTTTCAACAATAAATTGTTGATTAAAAATATCTTTATAAAGTGTAGATTTATTTAACTTCATTTTAATATTCTTAGTATCGATGATCCTCTTTTAGCTTTAATTTTTGCTACTTGACTCATATACCATAAATCAAATCTTCAAAATAAATATTTTGTTTGATATTAACCTTGATTAAATATTTAATTTAAAGCATTATTATGATTATTTTTATTTAATATATATATATATATATATATATATATATATATATATAACTTATTATGCAAATTAAAGCATACATTTACTCAATTCGTAAACTAACATTTCATTTTCTTTTTTCACTCAATCCCTTGTGTCATTTTATATCATAACATTACATAATTATTTATTTTTTGATATACTCAGATATATAAGATAATAATAATATTCATACAAACTTTATTGGTTTCAAATTAATATAGTATTATGTATTTAAAGAACTTTTATGTTAGAAAAGTACTAATTTACTTAATATAAACTAATTTCACATACTTGCATAATAAATTTTAAATTATGATCGATTTTATATGAAAGACTTCTAAAATAATGTCGTTGAGTGCACTGTGTAATATGAAGATTATAGGTATATTTAAAATTGAAGTTTTTTGTTATGTTCATTGCATTTCCATATTATTATATTACCTATATTACCTATATTATCCATATTACCTTATTGAAAAAAAATTAAAACCTTTTTTCTTTATACTTTTATCTAGACCAACAATATCTTTCAAATGATTAATTGCGTTTATGAAGTAATTTAAAAGTCTGTTGTACATGATCGTTAAAATGTCATTTTTACTATATTAAAATTATTTATATAGAAATGTAGATCAACTTACTTCAATAGATTTCAATAGATACCTAATGATTCAAAATTTGAATTTATTTTTCATTACGAAAAATGTATATAACTGAATTCTTTAATAACTCATTTTATAAAAATATATATATTTCATATACATATTCAATTTCATTTGTTTGTAATATTTTTATTAAATATAAACATAAATAAAAAAAATGTTGCAAGTTGTTAATTGCTGCTGTATATATATATATAAATTATTTATATTATAATATAATTCATTATATAATTTAATATGAGTGTGACTCCATGGAGAATATATTTTAGTAATTTAAATGTTTTGCATTACTGAATACAAAAGGTATTATATAAAAACCGTTTTCGTTAAAAATAATTGTTCAAATTTTTAGACGTTCAGTCATTTACAGCTTCCCTGAAGAAATTATATCATCCCTTTGGGAAATAACTTTAGTTTGCAAACTAAATTTTGCTATTCATCCATTATTTTTTATGTTTCAGCTCTCTCTCTCTCTCTCTCTCTCTCTGTCTGTCTCTCTCTCTCTCTCTGTCTTGATTATTTCTTTTATTAGTTCTTTATCACTATTTACATTTTTTTGTTTTTATTATAAATTAATATTTATACACTTATCCGTAAAATAAAACTTATTTTCATCTATTCTCTTCTTTTTGTACCATAACAAGAGATATCATTTTCTACTGTTATTGCTTTTTCCAATTTCTCATAAAGAAATGGATATAATCTTTTCATTCTAAAAATATATAATCCTGCAAAATGGTCTAGAAAAATCAACTTATTATTTTAATTTTTATTATTGAAAATAAGATATGATATTTTTATGATAAAGTTATTAAAGTACATTATGTTGTCTATAAAAGTCATAATTATGAACATATTATTTATAAATTATAAGTATTTAAGAACCAATATATATCGCCAAACAAAATAATGCTGAATTGAATTTATTTTTATATACTATATTTATTACATAATAGCATCACAGTTTCTCTAAACGAAGTGTTTTAAAAGTGAACAATAAAAGAAAACTAGAAATATTTTATTATGTATGCCCAAATTTCAAGAGAAAATAATATTAGTGCAAGATATTTCTTTCTCTTGAATATATTATTTAATATGTAAATTTGACATGTATTATTGACTGACATTACAATCAAAATATTACTTACCAAAAATTTATACATAATTTTTCAAAACTATTGTACAATAAAATTTTGTTCCATACACGTTTGCTTAATTGTAAAAAAAAAAATATTTCTAAGTGAATATATTTATATGAAAATATTTACATATATATATATATATATATATGTAAATATAATATTTTTTTATTATAATTATATATTATAGATTATATTATAATTTTTTATATTATTTTACTACACATTTATTTTATGTTATTATGTAAAAAAATCAATATAAATTTATCATTATTCATAAATATTGTATACTACATTCGTTCAAATTACATTACCTTCAAATGTGGAACTAGTAAAGTTATAATTGGAATGTAAAGAAGGCACTTCATCATCAAGTATATTGGGTGCAGATGCATTTAAGTGATGTCTATTGTCTACTGTTGTTATTTCTTCGCACCTAAAATATCAAGAATAGAAGTTTAAATTAATATCTAAATTTATAACTATTTTATTATTATATCTAAATAATTAAGAAATATTTAAAATATTAAATTTATTATGAAAAAAATATTGAAAATCTTCTGTTGCAAAGCCTATTTTTTTAATATAGATTTTTAAACAAAAATTGCATCTTTTTTTTTATAAATTACAACAAATACTGATAAATTGACTAAAATGAAATGTAATTTGAAAGGGATCAGAAAATTCAATTTTTTAATTTTATTTTACTCAATAAACCATGTTTAAAAATTGCCCCAACTATTACATAATATTACATTATGAAAAATATTCATCTACTTTTATCATCTGTTATTTAGTAGCAAATTATATCACTGATACTGAAGCATATCAATAAGCATATCCAAAAAAACCTTTTTTTTAAATGAGTTCATAAAGAAAAGTATTGTATAAGGTTTTACGTAGAAAATTATTATATTTTTATTTGTGCAGCCTAAGTTCGTTAAAGATTTATTTATTTAAATTATATATATTTAAAAAACTTTCGTTTCAATAAATTTATCATATTTGTGTACAAATTTTAAAATTCTTACCAAATAGCTTAAACACTATCGTTCCGTGATCATTCTTAAAGATATTTTTATTTAAAATTTTGTATAACACAACCAGATACAAAATATCTTCTATAGTAAAAGATACTAAGTTAACTATAATAAATTAAAATAAGTAATTGTATGTGGAATATCTTAAAGATATTCTTTCTTTAAAATAGCCAAAATGGCAATATTCTGGATTTCAAAAATCGAAATTGGGCAATATGAAAAAAAATTTTAAAAAATTTAATTAAAAGTAATTATAAAACTACATAATTATTTGAATTTTTCATATATTATATTCAAAAACTACCTTTTTGTGGTTCATTCCACTTCACCTATACTGCATTTTTAAAGGAATTAGATTTATAGAAAATACAATTTTTTTAATTTTTCAATAACATCAAGGTCAAATAGACACTTTAATCTCTTTGTTACATGAATAATTCTTGAGAATTTTAAACTGATTTTTTATGTAACTAATTTGAGTTGTTAGTACAAACTTATATTTCTATTTTCATTAATACAACTAAAAAAATTGCAGTTGATACTTTTAATTAAAAAATATTTTCTATTTTTTTGTAAATAACAAAATAGATTACAATCAAGAATTCGAGTGATAGCCTTCTATTTTATAAGTAATCTGGATTCAGATCTTTATAATTATAGAGAAACTAAGTAGAAATTTAAATAACAACATTTTACAAACAAATCCAACAAAACATCATTGACAATACACCAATGTCATAATCTAACTTTGTCTATCATTGATAGAAGTATATAAAAATATGTACAACTGATAACGATGAAATTGACTAATTATAAACAATATTGATAAACTCATTGTTACATTAACAACTGGAGTATTTAATTATTGGTTCTGTGTAATATGTATTTAAACTTGTATCTCTATATTTTCTTCAAACACATGCTATTTACTTTTAAATTTTGTTTTTAACGTGCCTAAATAATTACAAAGCTCTTAATACTTTATTCCTTAATGAAATGTTCAATTATATGATTTAAAATTTGTCTAAGCAATAGACTGTTTAAATAAATATGAAAAATTAAAAATGTAGTTAAATATATAATAATATATAATTATATATATATTTTATATGGTATTTAAATTAAAATAAGCATCTGCAAATTTTTAAACTTAATAAATACTGATGATATAAATATAATCAATTATTTGAGGTATATAGCATTAACTAATTATTTTGAAATTTGATGTATTTAATATGATTTTTATTAGTAATACTAGTATTATAAAATTTCTTAATATTTTTAAGATACACCTAAAACTATTAATATGTTATATCTAAATTTGATTCATAGTCTACTCATAGTGTTACTATAAATCCACTAGCACTTAGATAATTTACTATTAAACTAAAGAATGTTACACTAGGACAAGGATTAAAATAAATATAATAAATTTTGTCCTAATTATATATAAATAGAATAAATACTCAACAAGTTAACTTGTCTAAACATTTCTAAACATAAGAGCTGTCTACAATTAATAAAGGATTAAATTAAAATATTTTGTATTTATAATGATATAAAAAAGTCAGAGTATTTGCATTATTTTAAGTCATAGAATATTAATAATTTTAAAATTCAATAAAAGTTTGCAATTTTTATATAAAAATTTTAAACAAAAATTAAATAAAATTACCACTTTAAATATATTAAAAGATATAAAAATCTTGTTATTCAAAAATAATTATTCAATTTATATACAAAAAGATTTCATTAAATTTTATGATAAAAATTTTAAATATGATAAATTATTTAAAGATTTTTAATCAAACAATATCTCAGTAAAGTAGGAAAATATTGTAAATTACTATCTCAATAACTCAAAAAAATATATAATTTAATAAGTTACCTTTAATTCTGTATAAACCAATGTACATCATTAGTCTTATGATAGAAAAATATTTGAATATATTTATGATATAAAGAAAATAATTAAGATTCATTTCAATTCTTAACATATTTCAAAATGTAATAAAATAATAAGAATTAAAAAAATATACAGATCAATTTAAAAAATCAAAATATTTATTTATTACTTTATTTCTACATTATAGTACAATATTCTTTCAGAAATAATTACTGTATTATTTATTTTAAATTACATTAACCATAAATAGGTATTAAAATTATCATAATAGATTAACATTATATTATATAATTAATTTTATAACTATTTATTTTATCTAAAGGGAAAATATAATTTCAAAAACAATAATCTTTGTTAAAAAATCATTTTTTTACGTAATAAAAGTAATTGTATAAAATTATTTAAATAGTTATTAATTAATTTATTAAAAAGTACTTAAGAAATAATATTGATTCATTAATAATAATGATAATTACATTATATATATACAAATCTATATATAATTTTGTCTTTTATAAGCTCTTCTAAATTATTTTTATAATTTAACTAAATATTATTACTTCTTAAATTAATTAAAAAATCTCTGTCTATTCCTAATCGTCATTTGTTCATGCCTTAATTTTTAAAGTATCAATGATAAATCATGTCAATTTATATAATTCTATTTAAATATTTACAAAATACATCTTTATTAAATGTAATATTAAGTACATAAATTTATTTATACAATTTTACTGGTGTTTTATCTTAAATATTATACAAATTATTTGTTCAAAATATTTTTTATAACATTTAATTCAAGAATCATTACATTATTATAATTGTTGATTAATCTAAATAAAGCTCTTCTATATTAAAAAAAAAAAAAGAAATTTATTGAAAATGAAATATTAAATATAAAAAGTAAATAAATTGAAAATATCTAAATTAATTACAAATGTAATAGTGACATTTTACTTAATCTTGAAAAAAATGATATAATATATTAAAATTATAATTACCAGAAACTTTAATATTTAAATATTTTTGCATATTTATTAACTTATATAAGTGAATAAATTAAATATTAATCTATAACATAATAAATATTAAAAAAAATTTTAAAAACATTTTTAATTAAATAGTTTTTACAATAAAAATTAATTTGCAATATTGTAAGATATAAATTTTTAACAAATTATATTTTAATACATTTATATACAATTTAAATAAAGTATAAATAAGCAAATAAAGTATTACTTACATTTTAACAGTAAAAGATTTTTTATATTGGAAACAACAAATCTTTTCTATCCTATCAAAAATTTTAATAAAATAATTTTTAAAATATCCAAATATTTGCAAGCATTAAATAATAAATTTCCAAGTTTTAATATTTAATGACTTAAAAACCATTAGAAATATTCACTTTAGATTTATATTCGTATAAAAAAAAAAATTATATAAAATAAATTATTACAATACCATATAATTAATATAATAAAAATAATAAAAATGTGAAAGTTTTAAGCATATGTTTATTTAATTATTAAATTATTAAACAAATTATAGCTGCATATTCCTACAATTGCAACTAGAAACCATAAAACAAATTATTTTATAGAAGTAAACAAATTATCAATCAAAAAATACGACTTTAATGCAGAACTTACTGAAAGAAAAAAATAGACTTTAACCAATTATAATATAATTTATTTGATAAGTCTTCTCAGACTGGTTCAATCCTTGTATCTTATATCTTATTATACGTTTCATTTTTAGAATTATAAAACTTGGATATAGTACGCAGGCGTAAATTTAATGAAATTGACTAATTATTCATTAATTATTACTAAATTTTTATTACATTATTCTGATTAACACATAAAAATTTGATAATTAGAACAATTTGTATAAAAATGATTCAAAATGAAAATAATTCGATAATATTTAATCATTTTTACATGAAAAACTCCAAAAATAAATTAATTCCAGTCTAATGCAATAATTATTTAATAATATCGGGTATTGTTTATATTACGTACTAACTATATATGTTTATTCCAGTATATTGAGAGTTCCTTTGTATTTTCCCTTAGTTAAATTCGCTCGATCTTTTCAATCCAAAAGTAAAATTATTAAAGATATATGGCAAGTAAAAAATTATAAAAAATTAATTTATTTATTATTCATAATCTTTGGACTTCATATTTCGTACAAAAAAGTACAACTAAATGCTTTTAATTATCAATACGAATCTTGCACTATCGTGCTTTCAATGCATCTAGATCAATTTGCAATACATTATGTCTCACTTTCCATTCGATACAGTTTATGAAATTAAACATGTTAATTCAGCTTTAACTGTCGAGAACAACAACTACTATAGTATTTATAATTACTGTCTCAATTAATAACATTGCTTTATACACGAACTCAATAAAAGCATATGGATACTTGAAATATGATAAACATTTATTCTATATAGATAATATTTATCGTTAAAAATATGATACATATAGTATATTACATTATTAAAAATAATATTACCAGTCAATACAGTATTAAAATTAATATTTAATTATATTTCGGGTGCCATTATTTCTTAAATAATTTGTATTTCACTATTTGCCAATGCTACATAATTTTTTTTAATGAATACTTTAATTGAAATATTTTTTATTCCTGATTACTTTTCTGCTTAGATGTAACTCCGAAATAATACTTACAAATGCGTATATTGTTTTATACGAGATAATAAATAATTTATTAATATACAAATAATGTAGTTTTTATAAATAATTGATATATCTCAAAGAGTATATTGCAAATAACAAATGATAAATATTTATTTAAATTAATTATTTATATACAAATTAAACACAATCTTTTTATAAATACTAACTGTTGAGTAATCTATAATCGAAAGTATATGCATTTCTAACGAAAAGAAACCTTATATGCAGAGTATATTACATAACTTGATTCGTAGTATTAAAAATTCTCATTATAATACATATTTATTAGATCTGATTTTTATTCAAGAGTTATAGAACAATATAACATTTATTTTATACATTTAATAAATTTGTATTAAAGCATATTCATCAGTATAGGTAGTCAAATAAAAAATTAATAGGTTTTTATAATTATAAATATTGAACTGATTAAAAGGAATAAAAAATATAAACTTCCCTATAATATAATTGTTAAAATAAAATGTGTAGAATAAAAGAAGATAATACTACGTATTTCACCTGTAATTATACTATTTAGAATATTAAGTACGAATAAGAGATTCAATAAAAAAAAACCTGTTTATAGTTACTACTCACTATTTCTGTCTAGAGATATTTAAAACAAAACTGAAAAAATAATTTTTTTTTAATTTTCGACCCAATAGAATAATTCTATATAAACATTTTACATTTATATTGAAAACCAAATAAATAACTTTTGTCTTATTTAAATAAAAATATTTATCCGTTTATTGTATCATAACTTTAGTAAATTATTTAATTTTTATTTTAGTATAAATCTATTCGTAAATAAATCATTTAAAAAAATTAAAAACGCTTGTCCATTGAATTAAAACTTGTTTACCATAAAAGATTATAATTTTTCATTCTAATAAAAAAAAATCATATTGTCAAATTTTATATTTCGCATAAGATAAACAAAGTCTTTAAGTTTGAACAATAATTTATATCACGCTGTCAACATTGACATATTCAGTTTAGTTGTAGTAATAAGTTATAAATATTTTTTTAACAAGTTTTAAATAGTTATAAGTCCAAAAACATATTTTTATTCTCATATACCGATATTTATAACTATAAATCAAAAGAAAGGCAAATTATTTTCTGTTTTCTGGTAGAAAGTATATTTTCCTCTTAAATCTCATTCGCCCATAACATCAATTATTTTTCTATTTTCTGCCTATTATATAGATAAACATAATACGGCTCAAATAACTTGTGTTATCACACTTATTATAAATATTATCATTAAATTTATAAATTATTATTGTTATTTTTATTATCATTAATATTGAGCAATTATTTAAGTCTGAAGAAAATATTTTAATATATTAATTTAGTGTAAAAAATAATTATATAATTAATATATATTTAAACATCTTTAATGCTATTGCTTATTCGTATCCATTCGTTATCTTATTTCAGTTATTTTTTTCCAATAAAAATCTATGTATATACGACAACCAATCAGCATGAAGATATTATTTTCTTGTATATAGAATACAGAATACCGTTTAAAGCCATATAAGCACTGTGGATTTAATAGGTTAGCGTCGTCATAGTAGTTGTTGAATTATTTATGTTGATTTATAAGAATAAAATAAATAAATTTACAGAATAAATAATTGAAAATAATTAAATTAAAAATGGTTAGTATTATATTTATTTATAAATAATTTAATAAGTAAATAATTTATCTTTGATTTATATATGCAATAATCATAAAAATAAGAATAAAAATAATCATAAAAATATGAAGTGGTTATTGAACTTGCAATAAATTTATGCCAAATTGGAAGTTATCCATAACTAAAAGATTAAAGATTCAAAATTAAACGTTTTATTAATGTTAAAAGTTCCATCATATAATATTTCTTTTTTATCTATGTAATTAATAATTTTTTATAAATACTGAGTACTATGTCACTGATAAGTCAATTAAATCTCTTGTATATTTTGATATTAAATTCAAGATGAAAAAATTAAAATAAGGAATGAATACTTATAAAAAAAGATAAAAAAAAATAACAAATTGAAATAATTATCTGACCCCTTACTGTATTTAAAAAATTATTCCATATATTTATTATTAGTAACATTGATTACAAAATGAATAGAGAATATATTGCTTTATACAAAATTCATAAATCTACATGAATTTTATTAATGGATTGAAATTTGTGTAGAATTATATATTGATTTGATTGGCAAAAATATTGTAAATAAATTACTAAATAAATTATGTAAACCAGTACAGTTAATGATATTTTTGAATATTTTTATAATAACTTTAATAGTAATGATATAACTTATGAATTTATCAAATTGAATGTTGAATGTAATTTAATGAATAGAAAATATATTTAGTATAATCATTGTATCTAGTTAATTATTGTTTTAATAATTTTTTAAACCATTTTTTATATTCATATGTATATAAATAATTTACATAAAATATATTTTGTAGTAAGATAATTTGATAGGTCATCATGATTAAAATAATCAAGAATTGAATTAAAATATTTTTCTTATAATCAATGATTTGATATTTGTTATTTCATTTTTCTTGAAAAAAAAATGTATATTTATTTTGTTATATTAAAATTTGCTTAATTTTTCTTATAATAAAAATAGAAAATAATGCAATAGTCCTACGATTTAAAAATATCTTTAGACCTTTAATCTTTAGATCTTTAAATAAAAATATTCAAGATGCAGTTAGTGCTTCCTTTAATATATAGTACATACCGAAATCTTCAGAGGTTCAATATTAATGTAAGAAAAATATTAAGTTATACATGAATGATAAAAGAAATTTGAATCTGATTAATAATCTCAGTTCTATTTGACTAATTTTCAATTTTAATTGTTGTCTATATTCTAACATTATCCTGTTGTTTAATCAATATAATTCGCAGATTAACATTTATTATTCCATCATAACTTTTATGCTTTCAAAAATTATTTATCCTTTTTTTATAAATATAATACTTTCATATATTGAAACAGTAAAATGGAAAAAGCATTAGTTAATAAATAATAAAATCTGATTTGATCTGATTTGATTTAATTTTGATACCTATTGAAAGTTCATTTAAGGATAATATTATATTCTGATATCACTAAATTAATAATGACTATAAAAGGTGAAAAACAAATTCTGGATTACTTATTTAATCTAATGAAATTACAGAAAGCTATATCCTATAGAAGTACAAATTGCACTATATTATATATATATATACAATTTTGTTTTTACCTATATTATTTTTAATTTGATTTTAAATAAATAGATTAATAAATATTAGCTAATTATATAGAATATAAACAAATTAAATATTTTGCTTGTTTAATAATGAACTCTTTTAATTAATTTCATAGGCAAGCAATTAGAGTAGAATTTATAAATGTATACAAATATTTCAAATGCAATCAGAGTTATATGTTGCTAACTTCACTTAAAATTGTACATTAATTCAGTGAGAAAATTCTGTCTTATTTATTAAACTATTTTTGTAGTACTACAGTATTAGGTATTTTTTACATCTTCTGTATTTATAATTCATTTTTTTTTTGTAATTTAAAAATTGTAAGATATTTTTTTATAATAAGTATAATAATTTATAATAAAAATTTTTATAATATATATTGCAATAATATTTCTAATGTTAATTTTTATTTATATTATACTTGCATTTATAATAAAAATTGATAATAAAATTACCTTTTGCAGACCATAGGAAAGAATAATAAAATGCTACAGCATATTAATTATAGAGTACGTATAATTTTACAAGATTCTAGAACATTCATAGGTACTTTTAAAGCATTCGATAAGCATATGAATCTTATTCTTGGAGATTGCGAAGAATTTAGAAAGATTAAACCAAAAAATACTAAGCAACCGGAAAGAGAGGAAAAAAGGGTTCTTGGATTTGTTTTACTGCGTGGGGAAAATATTGTTTCCTTGACCGTTGAAGGCCCTCCGCCACCTGAGGAGGGCTTACCGAGAGTCCCAATACCTGGTACTACGTCAGGGCCTGGTATGGGTCGTGCTGCAGGACGAGGAATCCCTGCTAATATTTCTGGTATTCCGTAAGAGGTATTGGTGGCCCATCTCAACAAATTATGACCCCAGGCATAAGGGGACAAGTATCTGCACCACCACAGATGCATTCTGGAGCACCTACTCGAATTCCAGTTCCTGGAGGACCTCCACCAGGAATGCTTGGACCACCACCTGGCATGATGGGTAATATAACATATTAGTATGCATATGAAAGTATGAACATAGTATTTATATCTTAATGCCTAATATTTCTTTGTTAAAATGGGTTCATTAATTATAATTATATTTTAAAAATTTTATTAAATAAAATATAAGTAAAAATTATAAATTTTATAAAGAACATTCTACGAAAATAAATATTTGTGGTTCTGTTAATAAATCTATTATATTATTTTATTCAAATAATTCATTTCAATTTTTATAATTATAATTTTTCAATGTTTTATTATTTTGAAAATAAATTAATTTTGGACATTATAATTCTAACCTATTCCATCATTAAAGAAACTTCAAATAATATATACTTGTTTGTAATTCCATTCATTCGGTGGTCGAAGGACCAAGATGATTCGATTAGATTATGACCGCCAGTTGCCTGGTGGGGGAAGGAACTGCGGGCAAGTGGAAGGGATAGCACATTAATTCAATTTTTAAAACATTTGCTTATCGTGCTGTATATTGCGTTTTATTTTACAAACTACACAGTAATAATGATTCTAAGATGGTTTGAGAATCGGTGAGATCTTGCAGTTCGGTGGTGGTTGGCACGTAGCGTTAGCATACACTACATACAGAGAAAGGAGGTTGTAAATCTCTGGATCGTCTTGACATACTATGCTTGGGGGTAAATTATTACACTGAAAAGTAAGAGATCATAAATCTCTGGTACTTCTTCGTGTAGTGCCACGTGATGGTAACGTGTTTAGGTCTCCTTACTGGAGTGACCTTGTTGGCTGCATGCTTAATGTCTTATTATCTTTGTGTTAGTTGCACTATTATTAGAAGGGCCTTGTTGGCCTTTTGTTGGCTGCCTGAGGTGTCTTATTATTATGCCTTATTATTAGAAGGGTATTGGTGGCATTTCTTGGCGAACGTTGTGTCATATTGCCTTTGTGCTAATTCCACTATTATTAGAAGGGCCTTATGGTACTCACAGACATGCAGTTGCCATGCCTGATCCTGTGATGAGTGCCTAGATATTGCGCTTCTTGTAATCGTGTACATTCTTGTAATGCAGTCAACACTTTTGCCACTGTTCGCACTTGAAAATTGAAGTGAAGTGACTTGTTCATTACGTGGCGGCTCTGCTGAGAGACAGCAACTGTTCCATGGAGGCCCTGTTAAGACAAACCGTGACCTGGCAACTGTATCTGGCAAAAATGCATAAATGTTGCTATGCCGAAAGTCTTGCATGACGTCAGAGACTAAAGCTCTAGAACTTTCGAGAACTCCAGGAAAGCAAAGCTTTAGAAGGTTGGAGAATTCTAACCGACCTTGCTACGCGGATAAATTATAGGACGCTCTAAAATAAGGCTTAGAATATTTGAGTATTCGTGGAATCCATGTTTATAAACTCGAGAGTTAGAAGGCTTATACTTCTCCGAAAATCAAAGTCTTGGATAATGCTTCATTTCCAAATAATACCATTAAAATAACATGTCTTAAAATGTCTTACAATTGAGATAATAAAACCAAAAAATTATTACATTGTTTAAATAACTAAAATTAATGATTTATTGTTTTATTAATTGTTGTATTAATTATTTCATTTTTTCTTTTATATTCAAAACAATTAAAATATTAGATACTATAAAATTAAAAACGTTTAATTTAACGACACGCGAGGTATTGCGATTCGATTATATTTACATATTAAATATTAATATACAACCGCTATTTAAACAAGCAATTATTAATGTAGATAAAATAATTGGTAGAATAGCTGGCATATCAAAATTAGTATTTCATACCACCTGAGGAGAAACTTAAATTTAAAAATAAATAAAAGTTCTTATTCTAGAAATTGTATATTATAGAAATACATTAATTTTTGTATAAATAAAATATCAAATGGTTCTTTTATTTAAGACATCAAAATTCATTATATTCATTTTATTGTATTCTATACTATATAATTTAAAATATCTGTTAATTAAATGTATGGAAATTAAAATAAATACATATATTATTTAGATAGATGTTATATAAAATTAATTTTTATAATTTAGACTTAAATTTAAATAATTATATAGAAAGCCGACTCATTATTATTTTACTTCAAAAAAAAAAAAATTATTTTATAAAATTTATTAGAATAAATAAATTATTTATATGGTAAAAATTATATAATAAAAAAATCAATTATGAATAAAATCAATTACATGAAGTATAATCTAAAAATATTCTATATTATATTTCTGCTGCCAAGGATATCTCTACTATTAATTATATAATCATTTAGAATAGATTAATTTAATCTAGTTTAACTTTATCATCTTTATCTATCATTTAGAATAGATTAATTTAATCTAGTTTAACTTTATCAATGATTAACGATTTAAACAAGTAATTTAAAAAAAAATGTAATTGTATGGACAAAACAGAACTGAGACAATAAATTAATTGTTTGATATGAAAATGAGTTTTATATATGAAAATACTATTTTATATATCAAACAGAAATAACTTACATAAGATGTCCTAGGTAAATAGATTATTAGACAGTTTCAAGTACTTTAATTAAATTTCGTCTTAAGTTTATTATTTAAAATCTATGTCAATGCAACGATTATTAGAACTAAAATAATCCAGTTAAATTAGATCTTTAACTAAGTAGATGGAACCGTAATATAGAATGGCTTTCCTGCGGTTTCTAACATTAAATAATAACAGACCGACATAACATGATCAGAAATAGCTTAGCTAATATAAAATAGTAAAAAGTCAAAAAGTAATTCTGATTTGTTATAATATAAAATGCTCATAAAAACAAAATCATCTTGAAAAAAAATTTGTAAAAAAAAAAACAGTGTTGTCTCAAAATTTGTAAATAATGTCCTTGTTTAAGCAATAACTCGAAAACTGGCCTGTATAGATATCAAGTACACTAATTTCGTGATTAGTCAAAGATATAAATTCTGATTAAAAAAAAAAACTGGTAAAATTCTGCCAATGACTACTACACAATTTTATATATATACGGAAATGTAATATTAAAGAGAGAAAATATTACCGGCTTGTATGTGGTAAGTAATTTTCCGTTAACTATAGGACTTTAATTTTTTAATCCACTTGCTTTATTAATTATTTTAAAATATTTTTTCTATTATGCTTATTTACTTGTATAGTATGATATACATATTTACTAATAATATGATATCCTTAACAAAACTAGTTGTTTATTTTTTGGAATGGTCATTATTTATCAACGACATCATTTATAATTTTTTATTTATAACATTGAAATTGTATACATATCAAGTATATTTCCACCTTTAGAGATGTCCGTATATATTTTGTAACTAAATTTGTATAATATTTAACACGTGATCATTTATAGTATATTTAAAACTTTAATAGTTGGAAAGTATTTCAAACAATATAAAAAAAGAAATTTAATAATTTTAATTGTGAACCTAATATAAAAACTACGGAAATAAAATTAAAACCATGTTGTTCGAAAGATTAGTTTCTAGTTCGAACTACCAAATTCAATAGTAATCTCTCGCCGTAACGATGCTTAGGAAATAACATATGTTGAAGGGCTGTAAATGTGTACAATGTGTAACTTCGTTTAGGACATCGTTTATTCTGTTTTATTAACAATTACAGTGTTCTATGTTCACTTCTTGTAGGAGAGAGGGAATTATTCTATTACAATGATGTGGTTGCTTCTTGGTAATGGTGGCGATGTCGTTGATGATGTTATGGGGATTATCAATGGATTTTGTATATTTCCTGAAGAGGAATACGGCTTATTGGATTCTATGCTGATATTGTAAAGATCAGCAAGAAGAGTCGACCATGTTAATCAAGTGAGCATGGGAAGGTGGTGGTGGTAGTTAGCAATGAGAGTCGGCCATACTCATAATAGAAGTATAGGAGTATCTGTGTGCTAGTTATTCATCAATTCAGATACCATGCTTTGTGTAGTCGACTATTTTCTAGAACGGCAGTCAGCCCTTGAAGGATTGTTGTCTCGGTGCACTGATAAAGTGAATGAGCATTCCTTGGAATAGCTGCGTTGAATGAACGTGTGTTGCATGACCTTCTCCTTGGTCTAGACTCCGTGCGATAGCGTGGCTTGGGACGAGTGACTGATTGCGAGGATTGCTGATTGTAACTGATATTGTGCACTTTGTGACTATCGACACTACGTACTGAATGACTGCTTTAGTTAACTACGTGGAGTCTTGTCGCGCACTTCCTTAAGTGTCGGCGCGGCAACTAGTTCTAGCTTGAAACAAGTTTCGGTTAGTCGAGAATTCGGTGAAACCTCATTCGAGGCTAAGCAGCTTTCGGAAATGATCTAGAAGTTAGGCTTTCGGCTATTTGAGATTTCAGCAAAAGTAAATGTGATCGTTCAAGGCTAAGCAGCCTTGTAGAACGGTCGAGAATTCTGCTTTTGAATAATTGGGAAATCAATGTGAGAAACTATAAATATTCCGAGAACTGAAGGCCTCGAATAAAATGCTTCAATTCCGAACAGATGTATTAACTAAAAGCTTAAAATAGTAATACTCATTTTTAATATTTATTCTATATTAAAAGCTTGATTATAGAAGAAATCTTGTTTTATTAATATACCTTTAAAAATTTAATTGTACTGGTAAAGATTAAAATAAATAATTATTCGTTTATTATTAAAAAAATGTTTAAATATGAAAATTTTTTATATGCTTATTACATAAAAAATCGTGGTTTCATTCTATCATTTTTATTTTACAATAGAAAATTATTGTAAATTAATTTATTATTGTTATTGTTATTATTATTATTTAATATCAACATTTTTTAATAGTTATTAAAAAATAATTAATATTATCTTAAGTTTTATTTTAAAAATGTTATAAGGAAAGATATATAATTCTATAATTATTCATTTAGGGTTACCACCAGGAATACCACCAATCGGTCGTGCAGGGCCACCAATGGGACCTCCTAGTATAAGAGGACCACCACCTGGTATGATTCGAGGTGTACCTCCGCGTCCTTACTAAAAGATAAATAAACAAATAATAAAAAGTAATAAAAAGAAAAAATAACCGTCAATGTACACTTATTTATTCCTTACAATTTTAATTGTTATTCCGTGATATAAATGAATCTAGCTATTAATAAATAAATATATATTTGGGAATTCATTAAGTTTTTAAAACTAAGTAGTTAATGATAAAAATATCATTACATAATTACTAAAAAGAAGAATTTTTAAATGGATTAACAATAACATGATTCTTCAAAACGATATATCTTTAAAAGATAGGTTTTGTAAAGAACTATGAATTTGATAACTGAAGAACGAATATATGCTTTTAAATTTTTAAAGTTGCATATACCACATAGTAATACAAATTTTTAATATTCGAGTAAGAATGCATTTGAAGAAATCTTTAATATTATAAAATAGTTGGATGAATGTAGTTATCTAGGATCATACTAAAAACCTCCTTATGATGGTGGGTGGAGGCTTACTGGCAAGTGGAAGGCGCAATGCAATTATTCAATACTGCCTTTAATGTTTATAGTCTTTTCTTTTATTAAATATAATAAATAATGAATAGTTAATAATCTATGAATATCGAAATGAGTGTATGATAGAATGAATAGATGAGCGTTTCTTCATTAATGTTGGTGGCGATAAGTCTGTACGTGTATTCTTGATAGCATGGAGCGTGATTCCCCTTTTTCGTTTGGGTTGAGTAGTTGTAGTGGGAGACTCGTGGTGGTAGGGGCAGCAAGTTGGTGCAGTCTTAGCAGCCGGCGTGGGGTGAGCTGTAGTGAATGGAGTGGTGGGAGAACGTCCGTGTGACATCACTGCTTGTGTTCGTGAGCTCGAATGTAGTAGTGGTATTGGTGCACGTTCGTGTGCTCAATGTGGGCGTAAACCGCGGTGTAGAGGTGAGATGTAAGAACGCGCGTCTGGTCGTATCTTACATGAGCTGGCGGGAACGGCGGTGTAAGGGTAAGATGTCAAAATGACCGTCTGGTCGCATCTTACTTGAGTTGGCAGAAACCGCTGTAGTAGTAGTCGTAAGAACGAGCGTCGGCGTTACTTACGTGCGGGCGTAAACCGCGAGTGTAGATTGGCGGTCTGTCGTGATGGGTGCTTGTTAACTAGTGTTCAGTTTTAAAGGGGTTAGCTTATGGGTCGAATTGCCAATTCAATAGTTCAGTTGATTAGTCTCTTGGCAGGATAATTTTAAAGGAAATCAATAACAGACAAGGCTGAAAAATATAATATATTTATTAAAACAAGGTTAATGATTGTAAAACAATTATAATAATATTGCACTGTTGTGTAGAGATAAATAATTCTGTTGGATTATTCAAATGATGTGTTCTTGTAATTCTTATGCTATGAAGGCTCTATGGATATTACTGTGTTGCTTTTGAGGTTTTTTTTTTGAGGTTATGCTGATGTCGTCAGTCAATCATGCTTGTGAGGCAGCATGGTATGATGGTGTAGAATCAAGTATGCTTGATGGATGAATAGTTATACTTGATGTGGTGTCAGATCTTTAATAGAATTTATTATGTAATCAATTGTGTCTTTAATTATGTAAGGGGACAGCAGAAGAATCTAGTCACAGGTAAAAACAATTAAAGGTAAGATTTCTAATTCGTGAAGGATTTAATAATCTGTATTTATGTAGTCTATTAGTCGATCTGTGTTGTTCTTGTGTGACCAATGTGTGTGAACCACAGTGACTCTTGAGTCAGCTGTTCAGGGCCTGTACGATGTGTCGAGGGTTAGTTCGAGACAGCGTAAGTTTGCCCTGTTTGTGCTAGCGAGCCTGTACGATGTCGAGGGTTAGTTCGAAAGAGCGTATGTGTGCTCTGTTTGTGCTAGTGGGCCTGTACGAGAGAACATAAGTGTACCCAGGTTGTGCTAGCGGGCCTGTACGATGTCGAGTGGTTAGTTCGAGAGAGCGTAGTGTGCTCTGGTTCTGCTAGCGGGCCTGTACAATGTCGAGGGATCAGTTCGAGAGAGCGTAAGTGTGCCCGATCGACTATAGCGCGAGATGTAACTTGTTTATTTAGTAATATAAAGATGTACCTGGTGAACTGCAGGCTGGGTGTTTTAGATGCTGTGTAGTTAATGTTCCCCTTGATTACTATTCCATTGGCTTCACTGTAATCAGTAATTAAAACTGCCGATTATCTTTTCTATGCACGCGGGTACTCGTAACTATGCTGCCGAAAATATGGCTACGCGGCGTCTTCACAGTATACTATGCACTGACCGGCAGTTACGCTTGAGTGAGAGCAAAGTGATTTTACGAATGAGCATCGCCTCATGGCGCGTTGCGTTTAAATGTGCATGCGGCGTCTTCAGCGCCGGCAACAGTGTCGATGCGCGTCCCTTCCAGAAAATTTCCTTTGGCGTGAGAAAAAGAAGCTTCTAGAAGTTTCGCAGGCGTCCCTTTTTTATGAGTGCTGGCAGTAAATTATATTTCAGATCGTAAACTTGCTCGGACTTGCTGAGTTTTGTTTGTAAACATTTTGCTCGAGTACCCGCCTCGGCCCGCACGTGCGGATCAGCCTAGGCGCACGTGATGGTCAGCCTTACTGCACGCGCGGTCAGTCTAGGCGCACGTGCGGTACGCGGGACTGCGCGTATGACCTTTCTTTTGTTTGAAATTCATGGGACTGCATCAATCCCGAACAACTAGTAAAAAGTAGTAAGGAACGAGCGTCTGCGTTGCTTACAGAGGCGTGGGTGCCAATATAGTTGTGGCATCGTTATTAGTTCCTTAGGATGCTTGATGCTTGCCATGGCCTCCCAATGGCGATGGCAGGGTTGGATAGCGAGCCCGATGTGACGAGTGCACGATTGGTGCTAGCAAGAAGCGATCGCGATACGCGCAGCTCCTTACATATTCTTGTACGAACGTGCTGCGCCGATAGCGCATCGGTGGCTGTTACCATGCCGCTATTTGTCGTGACGTCAATAGGGCATAGCTTTGTAGGGTTCATTTATTATTACTTCTCGGAATTATAGTCGTATATTAGAGTTTTTCGGCTAGAAGCATTCTTTGAGTCCGTTAGTCAATGTATACAAAACAAATGTTCGCGCGCTCACACCTCTCCCACTTTGCATACCGCTTAAAACTTCTGTATCCATAACAGTAGTCTTGAAAAATGTATGTTGAATATTTTATTTACGAGCCGATGGATTGACTTCAAAATTTACAAATTTTTAGCTAATTTTATTACAGAATTCAATATAATTAGAAAAATTAATGATTCTTTAATTATAATATTCAATAAATTGTATATATTAAATATATAAAATTTATAGATGGATGATCATTAATTGGTCTTTAAAATCTTATAATTCTTTGTTTTTTGTGTTATTGGTTCTAGATCTACATTTATAAAGTACCAATTAACATTGACATTTAAAATAATTTAAAATATGTTCAATAAGTGGTAATCCTAATTATTTGATTGTCATATAATTTCTTTGACCTGTTAAAAAAATTAGGACTGATATATTGTATGGCACAATAATTTAATCGAAACATTTGGTCATTGCAGATATATACTACATAATAATTAGGATGCGTAAGGTTGACCTTAGATCATTGTTGTAATTTAAACATAAATAAAAGGTATTGGAAGAGTATGGTTTGTGTTAAGAACAGTCTATTTTAATTATCATTCATGATTCCAGTATACTATTAATCATAAAAACCTTTTGTATATAAATACAGTGGAATAAAATTATACTTGATAAACCAGGAAGAACGTATTGATAATACTTAGATAATTACGATTTCTTCTATTAAAATAATTATTCATTTGATATAATTTTCCATTTTATAAAATATGCTTACATTATTTTTAATATATTAATATATAATACAGTTTGATTTATAGTTTGATATAACATCACATGTTTCCTTTGAATGAATATTAATTTGATACTTTTATATTATATATAATATATCATTTTGTTCTATAAATATTTTAAATAATTAATAATTTGTATAAAATTAAACATGTCCTCTTATATTTTAACTAAAAATGTAATATTATATTTTTTATATTAAATTTAATAAATCCATTTATACTACAAAAATATTTACTTTTCTATTATTTTATATTTATAAATAATTCGATGGTTTGGATTTTTTAATGTAACTCAAACAAGGCGCAGGCAGTTTATTACACTTAAATAGTTTTTTTCTTAGAATAATAACTGTTCAAAAGTGGTATTATTCCCTGGCTCAATCTGCCAATGTTTCGATAGCTTTAATAATTTGCCACTCGCCCCAGCAGATGCTTAGGTGGAAATCAAGTGGAAGGGCTGTAGAAAGTTGTAGTATATGCAAACTTCATTAACATATGGTTTATTAATAGTTTCACTAACAATAAGCAGCATTCACTTCTCATAGAAGAAAGTACGAGTTCTGTCTTGTCTCAATGATGGTGGTTGCCCCTTGATGGTGACCATGTCGTGGTCACTGCTAATGTTGTAAAGATTAGAAGAAATATGCTTAGATATCAGTATAGGACGTGTGCCCGCAAAGCATATATATGCAACGCACGCTTGTATCGGACGTACGGCCTCAAAGTAAATGTATGCACACAGCCGTATAGTTTCTCGTAATGCAGTAGGCACTTTTGAATGTTTGTACTGATAACTATTTGACTGACTAAATTAAATGAGCCTATAAGCCCGTTGAATACGCGCACGAAAACTGAAGGCTTGTTCGTTCCGTGGCAGCTCTGCTGAGAGATACCGACTGTTTCATGGCGGTCCTGCTGAGACAGACCGCGATCCATACCATGGTGTCTTCACTAAGAGAGCGAAGCTCGTCGCGTGCTCGCCTTATATTTTCACAGGGCAGTTTATTTAGCTGGCGATAAAGCATCGTTTTTACTATACTGGAATCTTACATGAGACGCAGAGAGAAAACTAGAAGTTTCGAGAATTCTATGAATTAAGGCTTAAGAAATTTGGAGAATTCCAAGCGACGTTACTATGTGAAGATAATATAAAACATTGTAGGTTTGTAACCAAAAT